CCATGGGCGAGTAGAAACAGCGGTTTGTCGAGCCCTGGGCATGACAATTATATTACAGAGGGGTACAATGAAGAAGTAAACAAATTACACAGTAACAAATAAGCTACATAGAACAGAAGGTGGGGGTGAGGGGACAAGGAATAGATAAGGAAGGAGGAAATTACTTATTGTAAGAGTCAAATAAGTGGCTAATCTGGAGTTACTACGAATATCAAAAAGTAGGGAGACTGTCTTTGTACAGTGTAAAGTAATTATCATCTAACTTAAGGCCCATTCGCAACTGTCGAATTTTAGCATAAATCAAAGTTCTGAAGTCTCCCTCTGTAATCTGGTGTTAAAGTCTCTTTGTAGTAAGACGCATGTTGTCAGGTCTTTAAGGGAATGGTCAGTTTGATTAAAATGTTGGCTCTACAGATTTTCTGTAGAGATGTCTGATTTGTGAGCATTGATTCTCTGGCTCAGCTTTCTTTCTGTAGAGATGTCTGATTTGTGAGCATTGATTCTCTGGCAAAGTGACTGACCAGTTTGTCCAATATACATGGCAGAGGGACATTGCTGACACATGATGGCATATATCACATTGTTGGACTATATATAATCCTTGATCGTATAACTGACATGGTTAGGTCCAGTGATGGTGTCTCCAGAGTAAATATGTGGACAAAGCAGATTTAGAAAGAGTATACAGAGTAACTTCAAGTTCTGTGAAGGAGCACACTGAAGATGCATGCTGTTTGCACTATTGGCTCTGAAATGTATGGCCAATTTAATAATTAGTCTAATTTTTTATTTGTTTTCACTTGTGACACTGCTACAATTACAGGTCTTACTTGATCCATGATGTCATTATTGCAGTCCTTTCATATTTATTGTTTAGATATCTTATTGGTAATTTTTATATTAGTCAGAGATATTTGGAAAATGCTATAATCTGATTAGTTTTTTATATTTCTTGATTTAAATTAGGCCCAATTTGGCCACTGCAGGCAGTAAGTGAGATTATGTTAACAATTAGTATGTTAATTTTATTCCATTTCCCTTTCTTATTAGAATCATTGTCACGAAGATAGATTCGTGTTGCATAATTCTGTTCTTGTGGATAATTCTCATGACAATAAGATTAGTTTTTCTTGCTTCTTTGAGCCCAAAATTATGTACCTCTCTTTCTAACCTTTTTTTAAATGTTGTGCATTTTGATTGTCTGGCATGTACATCTGTTTCTATAAGGTTTCTGTGACTTCACATTGAGAAAGGAATGCCCACCTGCTCCAATTACAGGAAGAGTCAAAACAATGGCTCCCCATAGAGTATTTTTCTGTATAAATTAGGCATTCTTTTTCAGATACCTTATTCTTTAGACAAATTATAATGAGAATAGAAAAATGGCATATTGTTAATTCAGTTGTATAACACTTGTTTATAAAAATCATGGGACATGATTGAAAATGAACATATTCAATTACAATCTGGAAATCATAATCATGTGGTCCTCTTCTGTGTTACTTTCTCAAGCATTTTCAGATAACATTTGTTCTTTGTTTTTGCTTTGCAGATTATTTTTAAGGCTGACTCTGAGGGCTATATTTTTTTTAAAAAAATACTAATTCTACCCAAAATAATTTGTGGCACAGATGAGTAATGGTACAAGTCAAATGTGCAGTTATATCAATAATATTTGGCATTTGTGTAACATTTTCACTCAGAAGATTTACAAACATTAATGAGATGAGATAACTCCTCTGTGAGATGAGAAAGTATTTTTACTTTCATTTTACAGATGGTAAGCTGAAGAACATCAGTGGGAATTTTACCATTGACTTCAATTGGTCCAGGATTTCATGAGTACAGGGGACTGGATTTCATGATCTTTCAAGGTTTCTTCCAGTTCTATGATTCATCTAGAGAGTTTAGTGGTTTCCCCAAGGTTATACAAAAAGTTCATTACACAGCTAGTAATAAAACATGTATCTCCCAACCTCTAGCCAATATCCAGTGATTTGTAGGGCTCTACTCCAAGAGACACTGTGGCCAACGGAGAGAGTCATGGTCCCATCACTTCCAGGAGCCAGCATCCTGCACTGGCAGCTCGTCCCCGCAGAATGGCTGAACTTCCCCCAGCCACCGCATCTCCTTTCCAGGCATACAGTTTTATTCCACAGGTGATACAGAGACAGTGATGAAATATCATCCATAAAATATTATGCTCTTCCATAGAAGACTGTCATAACATGATGAAACACTGGTAAATCAGTTGTTAGCAATAGATTTTCAATTGGATAAGGCAATACCATGTCAGTTTTAGTAGGACCAAATTCATCTAATATAAAATGGTGGTAAACAAATTGGGAACACCCTCAGCATGGCCCCATTTTTTGCACCCTCAAGATCTGAGTGAAAATAATTGCAGGCATAAAAATTGCATCCAGAGTTATTTGCCCCTGAATTTTAATTCAGTTGGCCATCTGCATATTTAACTCTTCCCACAGAAGAGTTGGAAGATGGATTTGGTCTACATCACATAGCAAGCCTGCAGTGTAGATGTGTTCTAACTGAAAATTGTGTCTGTGGATAATTGTGCCCAAAATATTTTGCCTATTTCTGGTTGCTTATTTATATAGGAGGCTTTGCTTAGAATGTGCTGAAAATAGCCCCTATTTATAATTGATTTTATGGGTTATATCTTCTAGTCACCAGTTTTATTCCCCTTCTGTTTTGGTATGCTCAAAACAAAACAAACTACTCCACCACCCACCCATTGTGTTCCTTATTTTGTTGCAGCCATTCTAAATTGACAAACATTGTTTCCAGAACTTTGTTTCTGCCGATGTTGTCACTGATGTTAGTGTGGAAAGAGAAAATAAACCGAAGTCTGCTGCTTATGGGGTGTAGTACTTGAAGCATAGGCATATGCAGTTCCTTCACCTAAAAGAGATTAGACAAGTGCAGGATATGTTAGGGCTCATGCTGAAAAAAGAAGATAACTTAGAATTGAGTTATTTGGAGGACATTCTTTTGTTCTATGTCCTGTTAAGTCATCTGAGATCAACTGGGCTGATCTTGTTCACTGTGCCAAGACTCAGTTTGAATAGGACTGGAGGGAGATCCCCGTCAGGAACTCGCTGCCTGAGCATGTCATTTGAAGGTTCTCTGAAAATGTTTTCAGGACTTGTCTTGGATTTTTGCGTTAGTTTTTTCATGGTCATTTTAACTGCCTCTCTTTCGGTGTCTTGATTTGAGAAGGGGTGAAGGTTTAGTTTATTAATTGAATTATTTTTATGTTCAGTATCCTGATGTCTTTCTCAGAGACTGGCTCTTTATAATTATTTGAATGCACAAAATACCATCTGCCCTATTGAATATGCTGCCAAAGAGCAACTTCTCATGTCCGTTTCTGAAAGTTTAAAAGCTTAGCTTTCTAATGCAAAACTACTTTAGCGTGGACATAAGGTTAAATGGACAAACTGAATTTTTCCTCTCTTTTTGCTGACCTGCAGAATATAAACAAACTGCTGAGTTACCATATTAGCATATGAAAGCTTGCAGTTGGATAAGTACAGTAACATTATGTTGTAACGTCTTTCAGTGTTCAGTTTTTTATTAATGTTATGGCAGCTCATAAAGCAAACTCACACAATAACAAATGCAGTTTTATGTCACTGGAAGCTTTGCTGTCTGTTAAAGCAGTAAGATGCTTTCTGGAAATGACTATAGGTCTTTTTTTTTTCCCCAGTAGAACTCAGAGGTCATTTGAAAAAATAAGCATTTCATAGCTTACAATACGAGTTTTTATCTTGAAGCAATATGAAATCCTGGGAAATATATATATTCCATTTAAAGGATGAAAATAGGAAATTAAGTTTTGAATTTTAATGTGTTTGGTGCTGCAGTTGTCTTCTTTTTATTAATAATAATAAGAACGTCACCACATTTGGCCAAAGAATATCATTTCTTTTATAAGGATAAGTTAAGCTGGTGCCGTAAAGATACCATTTTAATATAAGTTTCTCAGCAGTGCAGTTAGAGGTTAAGACCAGCAGGCATAAGCTCATGCAGAATGAGTGTCATTCTGAAGTGCATCATGCTGCTTAAATCAAATTCCATGATTAATATTTAATGTTACTGTGATGGAATCACTTTCTCCCCTGAGGTTAACTTACGTTTTGCCAGACATCCTGACAACACTGCAATTCTTATGTTCCCTCTACGACCTGGACTTTTTCCTTGAGAAAGGTCAGAATAAAGGGTGCTTTTGTTCATATCTAGCCTGCCGGTGATATATTGACAAAGTGTCTGCTGGCTGAATGGAATAGTTTTACTGTATTAACGAGTGCTGATTTCTGAGGAGAGGCAGGACTTATGGTTTAGGAGGAAGTGAATTGGTTAGGTCAGGAGAATGTACCATTTATGAACTCTCCCTTTCTTTTTATATTCACGTGTTGGATACAGTAGACAGTATGCTGGCTGTGCTCAAGGCAGCGCTGGAGAGAAAGCAGCTTGAAAGTGATCTGCAGTTTTAAAGCTTGCTTTTTTTCGGCAGGGTGCTTGTGCTTGTGTTGGAAGCTGTTTTAAAACTAACATGGTTTAATCCACTAACTGCATGTTGGGTAAATTCAAAACCCACATGCTCGTCCTCTTGCAGTGGAATAAGTCACATCTGATGGACATTTTCTGTGCTTATAGCATAGTAATGAACGTCTGACAGGCGCGACCTTTCATAAGACAGCCCACACTATTGGCTTTCTGCCCAGAATATTGCTGCAACACTATCTGTGATTGGTTATCTCTCTATCATGCATTGCTTCACAAGGGAAAACGGCCCCTTTTTTAATAAATCTACGATGGCTGGCTGCAATATGCTACACTGTAAGTATTTTGTGTGAAAGAAGCAGGCAGACTATAATTCTGCACAGTAGTCTAGGAGCACATGGCAAGGCTGTAATGCTGTGGGACCTCAGTGGAATGCTGCCTGGTAAATTTTAACGTATTTGTTTTTTCTACAGGTTGGTACTAAGAAGTGCCTTTCCTGACGTCTCTGCTGCTTGGAACCGCTTCTAGAGCAGTCTCTGCTTTTTGCCTTGCTTGCTGCCAGCTAGACTGCGACGACAGCACATCCACCCTCCACCTCTAGCCCAGACACCCCCATTTCTACTTATAATCAAGAGAAAAGCTCTAAGTATCAGGCATTGCCCTAGGCTGCTTTAGTATAAAAATAAGTTGGCTGAAAAAGTAAGATATCTTCTGCCAGGAAATCAAGGAGAGGAAAAAAAATTCTCGATTGTTGCTCTAAACTGCTGCATCTGTCTATGCCAAACTAATCAATACCGATTGCACCACAAAACTCGGTTGCAAATTCAGCTGTGTTGGAGATTACCTTTCAGATAACTGTACTGAAAGCAGCTTGGAAATTCTGTGTCAAAGGGTCTGCCACGTTTTCATGCTTGCATTTTGGGCTCCAAATTGGCACTCAGAATGGGTTATTGAGAGCACAAGGCTAGTTTCAAGCCACACTTTTTAACATTCATCTTACTTATGAACCTAGCATTTCTTTAAGTACAAAACCTGTTTCAATTAGCATTTTCATGCTGTGAATTTCTAGTTGGAAACCTTTTCTTTGATATTGTGACAACACAATTTTACATGTACTTTTAAAGTAGAGAGTGGGGGGGAAAGTATTTTGGAGGTGACATTTTCATCATTTCCAGTCTATCAGTTTGGCTGTTTGTTTGTTTGTTTCACTGAAAATTTAAACTACCTGTAAAAATCTAAACATGGCTGTTAGTGTCACACCGATTCGGGACACAAAATGGCTAACACTGGAAGTGTGTAGAGAGTTCCAAAGAGGGACTTGCTCACGGCCAGACACGGAATGTAAATTTGCACATCCATCGAAAAGCTGCCAAGTTGAAAATGGACGAGTAATCGCCTGCTTTGATTCATTGAAAGTGAGTAAATATTATATTCTTTTCAAGGATAAATAGTTAATGGATGAAACAATTATAATCGGCAGAATCATAGAGTCTGGGAGATATGGATTGCTGTCTGTGCTAGTGTGGAGATTTATGGCTTTTTTTTATTGCTGATTTGTTCGTTTTGTTTTTCTCCCGGGATGGGAAAAAGAATAAGGGAAAAATAATTATAACAGAGTTCGGGATCTCTGGAATTGGTGTGGTTACAGTTAGTATTTCCTTAACCCTGAATTGTTGTTGGTCTGCAGCTAGTGTAAAAAGTGGTGAATATTTTGTTTAGAAATAGTAAAGTGATCATAAAGATTCTAATAAATAAATAAATTAAATAAATCAGCCTGGAAATGCAAACCATGTGTTCTAAATGATGATTTGTTGCTGTCTTGTAACTGCATGTGGATTGTTGTTGGCTCTGGATAGTAGCTGTATATTTGAGATGAGTATTTTCCTTCATAAATTAGCCTGGCTACTTCTGAAAACATCTTTCTCACCCATCTTTTGGACTGCCATGGTTTTATCCTTTTTGCTTACAAATATTTAAGGAAAGTAGTGATGCATTTCTTGAAAAAATGTAACTGAAAGCCAGGTATCTGCAGTCATGCCAGGACAACTAAAACAGAGAAGCTGCAGGCTTACTGCCACTTTTAAAACATATATGCTAGGTAAGCTGTGTAAAGTGTAGGACAGGTATTTTCAACTGTCTATTGTGTTTCAGGGGTCAGTTGCGAAACACACAGATTTCCAGCTCCTTCTCTTCATTCTTTATTAATTAAATAGTCTCAGACTTTAAATAGCTAACCCACAAACTGTAATTTAATACAGCACAAAGTCATAAATCATAAAGCCTGACAGAAGAGTCTCTCTTTGTTTTCTCTAGAATATAATATAGCTGCTCTTGGGGCCAAATCCCAGGAAGTGGCGCAAAACATGAGTAAACGGGCTTTGCTGGAGGGAACGTTCTGTCTTAGGTAGCTACTGTAGGCCGATTTATAGTCAGATTAGGATCACAACTGCAGCAGGGCAGGAAATGTTTTTTCCTATCCCACCAAAATTATGAGATTTCAAAATGTTTTCCAGTTCCAAAATGGAACAAAAAATTAAAATGTTTGTTAACCAAGAATTTAAAAATGTGTGGTTCAGATCAATCAAGCATTTCACATAAATAAATTTGAAACCTTTTGTTTTGACTCTGGCTCTTTTTAATGTAAAAACTTTTGTTTCTTTTTCCTATCGCTTAAATTTTGCAGTTAAAAAGTAATTTTGATCTGGTAAACAGAATGTTACCATTTCTAAAATTTCAAAACAAATTATTTTGAAAATTTCTACACTTTTTTCCACAATGTTTTCAAGTTGAGAAATTTATCAGAATAGATCCTTGCCCACAAAAAGTTTTGCTGTTGACAAATCAGTATTTCCCTATGAAAAATATTTCATCAAAAAATTCTCAACCAATTCTAGTCACAGCTTTGGGGCATTTGTATAGGAGTGGATACATATGATAGTTTTTTGTTTTTGTTTTTTTGGTGGTAGGCTTGATCTAGTGCATAAGCACTGTGTATAGACTTAATCCCTGCCACAATCGTGAACCTGCTCCATTTTCTGCACTTGTAGAGTTGTGAAGGTTTATTATTATTATTTTGTAAAAGTATCTGTGTTGTAGCTTAGATATCTGATATTCAAGTTTCACTCATGGAACTCAATAAAATGCTTCTATATAAGAGAATGTAAGAATTAGAATTTGTTTATTGTTAAAGCACCATAACCAGCTGAAACAGCAACACACAGTTTAATTTCCTAGCTAATTGCTTCTACTCATTTGACAGCACAGAGTTTCACATTTCCACTCCTGGATTGCTCTATTAGTCATAAGTTTAAAAAAGAAAATTTAAAATACCTTGGGTTCAGAAAAAATGTGAAAAGGTAGAAAATGAGACACCAGTGTTCGTTTAACTATACTCTTGAAAACCTTAACATGGTTCGCAGTAGGAAGCCATGAGATCCAGGGGTGAAAGGACTATGGTTCCAAAATGTTAGGTGGGGGTGGTTATTCTTGGTGACCATGTGGAGTTATTAGAGTTGAGTGGTTTATAAATTGAGGCGGAATTTGTTCCAGATATTCTTTTACTTTGTGAAAACCTATTGCTTAATAGTTATATATTTTCTTCTGTTAACCTCAATGGCTTACTGTGACCCAAAATCACTCTGTCAAAGCTTTGTCCTGGAAAACTCTACAGGTGTCAGATGGAATTCTCCTTTCTGCAAGTTGTAGAGCACCAGTTCTGCAGCTCCAGGGCCATTATTACCATCCATGAGAGAGGACTAAACTACATCATTAAACTCATATATACTGTAAACTTGCATATAGGATAATTTGGCTAATATATATTTATAAGCAGATAGTTGAGCTGTGGTTAAATTAGATTGTTCTGACAACTGCCCAGAAATCTCTTTGGCAGTTTGAAAATGAAGTATATTTCTTTACTGAATTCCCTGCCTAATTCAACTTGGAGCAAAATACCTGCACTGTGTGTGTGCATGTGCACACACGCGCTGCACTACAAATGTATTGATTATTTTGTTTTTTTCTAAAGCTTTTTGCTTTTAGTTAAAATGTTAAATATGGCATCTAAACACATGTTTTTCAGAAAGTATTCTATGTATTCCATATCTAGAATGAAAATATTTATATAAGTTGAATTTATACGTAGTATTCTTACTCTTTATTAACATGCTAGTGTCTCTAAAAGCTTACTATAAAATGACTATTATTTCTTAAATACTTGTAGAATGTTTAATCACCTTATCAATGCATATAATAATATAATTATAAACTATCTAAATAGCTCATCTTAGATTATTGGAAGTAGGTCAGATCTTTAGTTATGGAGACTTGTTAGCAAATTGGCACTAAGTCTCTAATTTATATGGTTTAAAAAATCATCTGACAAGTACAGTAGTGGTTTTTAAATCTTGTAGCTTTCTAGCTTGTGTGATGAGATGTGTGTTAGATATTGAAGAATGCATCTAGAGCCTGTTTAGTATCAGTGTTTGAGCACAAGGTGGATAGAGCCCCTGTGTGCTTTTCTATATTTAGAACATTAGACAGGCAAAGCAAATACTTTCTGAGGGGACCCCGTGAAATGGCAGTACCATTCAGCTGTGCTCTTTCAGACTTTGGCTGAACTCCTGGGTGCCTGATATTTAAAATACTGGGAATTGTTATTTATATAAGGGAAAATCATCCCTGAGAAATGCCTTTTCAGTTTAGACAAAAACAAGGTTTGTTTTAATAAATGATAAGGATAGATGTGTAAATTTGCGGGTAAGAGAATTGAGCTAGTCCTAAGATTGAGCCCACTGGTGTCATGTGATGGCTTATGTGAGTACAGTATTGGAGTAGTGGTCTCCAGTTTAGAAGACATTTAATGTATTCAGTGACTATTGGTTCACTATTATTAAAGCCTGCAGTTCTTGGTAAGGCAAACTCCCATTGATTTTAACAGACTGAGTAAACACTGCAGGATTTGGGCCAAATAAAAAGGATTATCCTTCTAATGCTAATGTTCAGAAGGTTTTGCTTTACTGATAAACCATTGCTCTCTTTAAGTTTATAACATCTCCTGGATTTGTTACCTCATACTCAATTTCTATATTGATGGGATATAAAATGGGTTTGGACCTAAACTTGACTTCCCAGGTGCAAAATCATGAGCAATCATATTATATTTCCTTCTGAATAATTTCTCTTTTTCCTTTTTTTAAACATTTTCAGTAAAAGTTAGATGCTAGATATTTCAGGTATTTTTGCAGTGTTTATCTATGCAGATTATTTAATAATATAGCAATGCATATGAGATACATAGATTGCACTGCATTTTAATGATTAAAATTAATGCTAAAATTACACTCCATTGTACAGACACCTCCTTTGTAATATGAACACTTAGACTCTTCATAAATTCATAGCAGTGTTCCACTTTTTTACTGAGAAGCTTTGAAATGTTAGAGGTAATTATTTTGACCTTGTAAAATGTATGAATTCATTATGGATTAATCTGTGGAGAATCTCAATTCTCCATCACCTGAGAGATAGAATTATTAATTATGCATATCTCCATTTTGGGTTTCCTTAAATTAAAAAAGAAAAACAACACTTTTGGAACCTAATTTTGCTGTGGGGTATACCAGTAGAAATTCACAGAATCAGTCCCTTCATAACTGATTTGAGTATAAACATACAAAGAGAGAGAATATCATTGCCATACAGGAGATAGTTACACATTTAATTACCTTCTTCAGTACTATGCTCCCATTTGGGGGAAAGAATGTGGGAAACCAAAACAAGCAAATTAAGTGGGAAAATAGGGTATAAGAGGGGAATAACACACTTAAAAAAGCACATATAAAAGTTCCATTATAGGAGCATCAGTGGCATTCAAAAATCATACCGGAAATGATTCAGAGTTATAGCTCTATAAGGCATGTTTCATATTAAATTGTTTCATTTAGCATCTGAAGGAAGAAATTTAAAATATTACAATACTACATTTATACAGACTCTAAACAGAAGAAACTCTGAGCAGATGCAGGTACAGTACTAAAGATGAAAAAACTTTCACATTTGAGAGAAAAGTGTAAAGACACATAAAATAAAAATAAATAAATAAAACGTTTGAGCGCAAAAGTTTACATGAATGAACTTGTATCTGAAGTTAAATCTTCATATTGAGGTATTAGGAGCAGCCTCTGAAATCTCTCTCCTTTTTCTGCTGAAACAAAATCTTGTGTTTTCTACATTTCTAAATACAAATGTTTGGCTTTCAAAGTTCACTCTTAATTTTGATGGATCCAAGAAATTACATTAAGACCAACATTTTATATCTATTGTTCAACTTCAAAGAAGCTTTATGAGGACCGAATAATAATGATAGTAAGGTTACAACTCAGTTCTAGAAGTCAGAAACATGAAGGATGTCATA